TACATATCCTCTAGCTATTCATTTTAAATGGATTGTTGATTTAGTTATTATGCCAATTGATTTATGGCAAATGAGATATTTAGTCTTAACTCATGAAGATTTATCAAATCAAGTAGAAGGAAGAGCATTGAGAACAAAATCTACAGAAAGAATTTGTAGATGTTTGCTTGAAGATGTTATTTGCTGCTACGGATGTATAAGAAAAATCACTGCAGATCATGGAGAATTAAATACACAAGAAGCTTGTGAATTCTTTGAAAGATGTGGAATGAAACTATCACTGACTACTACTTATAATCTTGAAAGAAATGCAAAAAGTAAGCGTGGTCACCCACCGATTAAAAAAGCATTAATTAAAGCTTGTAATAGAAAGGTTAGAAAATAACCACAACTTTTGTCATTTATATTATGGGTTGATCGAACAACTCATAGCTCAGTAACGGGATATATGCCTATTGAGCTTATGACAGGTCAAAAACTAATTATGCCAATTGAAAAAAAAATACCTACTTGGAGTGTGCTACCATAGGAAGATGGATTGATAAGAGAAAAACTTCTAGCTATTAGAATTCAACAATTAGAGCAAAGATTGGAAGATGTGCAAGTAGCATTAGAAAGGTTAAAAAGATCAAGGTTACAAAATAAGGCACAATTTGATAAGCAGCATCGATTGAGGCCTAAAGCAATTGAAGAAGGTGATTGGATTTTGGTCTATGATAGTAGCTTGGACAATCTACATAGTATTTTAAGGAAGTTTTCTAAGCGATGGTTTGGACCGTATGTAGTAACAACTATTCATGATAATTTAACTTACTCATTGTGGAAGTTAGATGGAACAAGGTTAAAAATACCAATTCCAGGGAAGCGAATAAAAATATTTAAACAAAGACATATAAAAATAAATATAGAAGATCTTGGTGAAGATATAGATATTCCTTGACAAGAATATGAATTTGATATGAATAGGAAAAATAATGAAGAGAATTTTGACGAAGACTTGGAAAACATGTTATGAATCAAACAACAACTGGGTTATTTGGTGCATACCAAAGGATGCACACGTTCGGAAGAAGTGGATGTCGTGTTGTAATATGACTATATAGTGAAAATATAAATAAAAAAGATATTATTAATATTTAGTCATCTTAAATGTTAGAAACAGTGGCCAATTCAAGTGCCAATATTCAGGATCAGTTAATATCACCCCACTAGCATCATCAAATCAAGTACCCTCCATACCAACAAAACAACTACGATCACTTTCCAATCCTACATGGAACAAGCCTAGTAGGTATATACCGGTGGAGACACCCAATATGCATGATGGGAGTACAAGAAGACTACTTTGTCATTTCCGTTGCAGACAGGTTGGTCATTATGCCAGTGAATGTTCCAATCCCAAAGCCAGTAATGATTGCGCACCAATTTATAGGAATTATAAGCAGTCGGGGCATACTTATCAGCAATGTAATGCTCCGTCCAATTTCAATAAACGAGATCAGTAGATCTAAAGCCAAGGAAAAATTGAGGAGATAAATCAAAGACCTCAAGATTCTCTAATAAACGGGTGGAATGTGTCCAAGTTGTTCTTACCAAGAGTCAAAAAAAGGGGAAAGGACCAATTCAAAAATTGGGTGAGCTTGATGCAAAGGGCCAATTTGACCCAATTATGGGACATCTAATCCAGCTCCTATTACAAGCATCTTACCCAGTGTGGGACTTGACTCGATTGGGCAACCCAATGAGGTCCTAATTATGGAGGCTTCGATTCCATCTCAAGCTATTCCGTTCTCTATGCCATTCTAAGAGAAACATCATTTACGGGATAAGATCCTCTTAGAGACAGGAATTTCGGAGAAGTGCCATCAATTGTTCCAATTTGGAGTCAAGAGTGGGAGAAAATGGAACCACACGGAGTTAAACTGAAGGGAATAAAAAGAGGATTTTTAAGGGGATTCGGAAATTAAGATTTTGGGGGTCAAAAAGAAGCTTCAAGCTCCTTCGAAAAGTGTTTGTATTAGTGAATTGGGTTCATAGGTTTTGGAAGGACTTTGCAATCGTTACTCAAAGCTAGTGTTTGTATTGGTGAATTGGATTCATAGGTTTTGAAAGGACTTTTGCAATCATTGCTGAAAGTCAGTGTTTGTATTGGTGGTTGGGTTTTTTTTTGCAATAAAGTTAAGCCTAGTACTCTCGACTGTCTTGTGAAATTGGAGGAACTTTTGCAGTTGAAATTTAGAGATGTCTAGAGGGTTGAGTATGCCAAGTGCATGCAAAAGTTTGTATTAATCTAATGGAACAGATAGAGGATATTTGACCATTAGTATAAAGAAGTATCGAAAGTTAGCAGATTAGAGTTATTTAGGGCTTTTGTAATATCTAGAGATCTATGAGCTGGAATAAGGTGACTTTTGGCATGGTAAGTCGGGGACTTCTAGGCGGCAGTCAAGATACATCAATGTGGATTTACGATATTTTCTTGCAATCTATAAGTTAGATTGGATTGAAACTTCTTGAGCATTTAGAAGGCTTGCAAAGACATTAGCGGTAGAAGTTTACAACAATCGGACGATCAGATTGAGAATTTTACCTTGTCAAAGCTTGTTGTCTAAGATTAGGATTTAAAAATATATAAAATAAAATAAAATAAAATAAAACTAACAAATAAAAAAAGACTTTGTACTTATAATAACTTGAAGTTATTAAAAATAGTATTTCTAAGCACTTTGTATTGAGATTAAGCTTTTACATTGAAATCCAAAATAGTTTGTGTTTAGATGGTTGAAAACCACTAGACTACTTGAATATTTGCAAAACATCATTTTATCTTCCACAACTAGACGCCTGATGCATTCTCAAGCTAGATAGTACATAATACGATACTGGTAGAGCATACGTTGTTGTTACGTTTGGTGGTACAGCTTGTAATAGGGTGACATTAATTGGCCCCTAAATATTGGCACTGGAATTGGTCATTGATCCTAACATCTGTGAGCTAAATTCCTCCACCCTTAATTGCGTTTAGTAGTCAAGTGGATTAACTTCACTCACACGTAATTTTTATAAACCCTAAGTTCATTCATAAACCCTAAGTTCATCCATAAATCCTAAGTTCACCCATAAATCCTAAGTTCATCCAGAAACCCTAAGTTCATCCAGAAACCCTAAGTTCATCCATAAACCCTAAGTTCATCCATAAACCCTAAGTTCATTCATCCTAAATTTTCCTTCATCAATCATCCATCCCTTAAATCTCATTCATCCTATAACATTCATTCATTCATTCAAAGTTTGTTCATCTAATTTTCATCTAAAGATTCATTCATCCAACCATAAGTCAACTTATCATCCAATTGAAAATTCGTACAATTGACCTAATTCATCCAAGATTCATCCTAAAAATTAAAGAAAATTGGAAGTTGCCACCTTCCAAGTCATGGTAGCGACCCCCTTGCACGAATTCCACTACAATGGTTGCATCACTAACTTTTTTATAACAAGCTTTGCTATTTCAGAAAGTAGACTTACAAGCGCTTGTCCTCCATTAAAATTCAATGCAAAACAACAATTAAGCTAAGAGAAATCTTGCCTCAAAGTTGCCTGACTTTCTCGGCCTAGTCAGAGCACCCCTGGCCACAAAAACCCTTGCCCTTGCTCCATTCCAGTTGTGCAACGCATATGCTTTAGCATTCCAAAAACTAGAATTGAAGCCGCATCACCTCCAACAATTTTTTCTTGAAAATCTTGAGTGAATTCCAAGATATGACCTTCCAAAGTAGCTTGAGTTGGCGGAGTGCTTCATCTTCACCACGGCCGACTCCTCTTCACTCCAACCACCATAACTTCCTTGGCCTTTACTCAATCTAAGCGTGCAAATAATCCTTGCAAAGCTGACAACAAGAACCATCTCCCACAAAAGTTTCAGCTCCAATTTCAATAATTTCCGCCAACACTCGCCTTCCAAAGTCGGACCTCCAGATCTGGCCGGCAGCTGACCTCCTTGTCACTAAAACCACCACAACTTTCTTGTTTTCTCTCCAAACAAAGCGTGCCTACTGTCCCGAGGAAGCTAACGTCAAGATCTAACTATTGGTAAAGTTTGACGTTCTATTTCCTGATAACTAATACACTACAGCTACGCAATTGCAGCTCTATAGAAACAAGGGTACGTGGGGATGCAATTTGGCATGGCTTTGCCCCAAAAAAAAAAGAGAGAGAGAGAGTGAGTGTGGCCACCCCCACCCTCTTATCCAAGTAGGAAGAGACCAAAGGGTGGCGGCCACATCTCCACCATCCGAATCCACCAACTCTAATCAAGATCAAGGGCCCACATTAACCCTAAGTCCTAAATCCGATTTTAGTGCTGGACATGCCCAAAATCCCCAATTCGAAGCGTTTTTTGACAAAACTAACTCCACCAATGTGTTTAAAACATATTTAAACATCAAGTTTGACTATTCATACACCCAAATCTAAGTTCTAGATCATTAAGAACCAACAATTTGACAAACTCATCACAATAAATTTACTTCTAATTATTTTCTTCTCCTTTTTCTTCTTCTTCTCCTTGTCCCTCTTCATCTTCTTCCTTCTTTCTTCTTGGCCTTTTTGTTTTTTTTTTTTGTTTTTTCTTTTTTTTTTTCTTTTGGCTCTTTTTCTTATCTTTTCCACCACTCCTTTTTCCCTTGATTTTTCTTTCCACTACTAATCATCAATAAGCCACTAACATTAATGTCTATAAATAACTTATTATAACAAAACATAATCAAAATCCTCATTTTTTTTAGATTTTTTTAGTTTAACCAACAATGTGAACCAACTTTTGGGCTCACATAATTGGCGACCATCAGGGGACGAATCCAGCTTGTACTTGCCAATTTTTGTCCTTTAAAGTATTTTCACCATGCCAGTTCATACTATCGCCTTGTCATAAGATAGAAAGGTGGAGCTCTTGCCCAAAATTGTGCTCCCTCATGTCTTATATTCTTTACACCTGTTACCTGATGTTCGTGTGGGAAACAATTGACCATTCAAGGTCTCCAATTGCATGGAGTTGTTTAAAAACACCTCCTTGACAAGATAAGGACCCAACCATACGGCATCAAACTTGCTTGGAAAGTCGATCTTCCGAACATCTTGTAACAATACTAGCATACCAGGTTGCAAGACCCGAGTCTTGTTCCGTTTATCAAACACGACCTTGCGCCGCCTCTGGATGGCCTCAATGTGTTGAGCCCCTCGTCTTCTTCTCTCATCCAACGCCTCGAGCTCGTACAACCTTGTCTTTAAAGATTGTCTGTCAGTCAATCTAAAATCTACTGCAATCCGAAGGGATGGAACCTCAAACTCAATTGGTAAAACTGCTTCCAGTCCATAGACTAGAGAGAATGGCGTAGCCTGCGTGGTGACCTTGAATCTTGTTCTATATGCCCATAAGGCGGTTGGCAGTTTCACATCCCAATCACGCTTGGAGTCTCTAACAGTTTTCCTCAATATAGTACCAAGTGTTTGGTTGACTCGCTCTGTCTGACCATTGGTTTGAGGGTGATAGGGTGTAGTCTTCCGGTGATCAATCTGGAATCGCTCAGTCATGGATTCAATCACCTCGTTGAAGAAATGAGTACCTCGATCACTCACAAGGATCTTCGGGACTCCAAATCTAGTAATCACATTCTCAAAGAGAAAGATTGCAGCATTCTTGGCATCATTTGTCCTCACAGCCTTGGCTTCAGCCCACTTAGTGAGATATTCAGTGGCCACTACAATATATGCCATTCCTCGAGATGAATGAGGATGAATCTCTCCCACGTAATCGATGCCCCACTTCTCGAATGGTACCAATGGTAGGGAAATGTGAAGCAGCAATTGCATGTGAATGTCATTCCTAACAAATCTCTGACATGCATGACAATGCCTCACATAGGTATGAGCGTCCTTGAAGAGTGTTGGCCAGTAATAACCAGCCCTAAGAATTTTCTGACCAGTCAATTGGCCAGAAAAATGTCCGCCACACGCACTGTCATGACAAGCCGACAAAATGGAAGGAACCTCATCTTCCATCACACAACGTCTTAACACTCCATCCAATCCACGTCGATACAATCGGTTCCCTAACACCACAAAATGACGACTATTGACCTGAATCTTTCGCCTCTCGTCCTTGGATAAATCCACTGGTAATTGTTAAGTAGTCAAGAACTCAATAATCCTAGAATACCATGCTGGTCTAGCTGTCACCAAGAAAAGACTCTCGTCTATCAATCTATCATCAATCGGGTGGGTCTCCATTCCTCCAAGCAATCTCGACATGTGATCTGCTTGTTTGTGTATGGATCCAGGTTTGTACTCCACAATGTAATCAAACTCTTGTAGCAACAAGATCCACCTAGCTAGCCGACCGCTCAACTCAGGTTTGTTAACCAAATACTTGATGGCCATGTGATCCACATAAAAAACCACTTTGTTGCTCAACAGATAATGTCTAAACTTCTTAGCTGAGAACACCATGGCTAGACATTCCCTCTCAGTGGTGGAATAATTTTTCTCTGCAAGATTTAATTGCCTACTAGCGTAGGCAATTGGATGATCCTTGCCCTTGCTTGGGCCTTCTACAAGTTGGCACAGAATTCTGCCAACTGCCACCGCACTTGCATCACAATAGATGTGGAAAGGCAAGTCCCACCTCGGGGGCCTCAATATTCGATAAGAAGACAATTCCTTCTTTAGAACCTCGAAAGCATCATTACAAGCCTGAGTCCATATAAATTTGGTGCCTTTCTTCTGAAGGCTAGTGATAGGAAGGGTAATAGTGGCGTAATCTTCAATCAACTTCCTATACCAACCGGTGTGTCCCAATACACGTTGCACTTCCTTCACACTGGTAGGAGGTGATAAATTCTGAATTACCTTCACCTTTTCTGGCTCAGGCTCATGACCCCTCTTACTAACCATATATCCCAACAAAATGCCTCTAGTCAAGGCAAGATAGGTTTTTTCTGGATTCAGGGCCATTCGAGCTTTCTTATACCTCTCTAAGCTTTCTTTTACCAAATGAATGTGAGAATCTGCATCAGATTGGGTGCTGAAATCATCAATGAACACGGTCATTGATTTGTATAATAAGTCTAAGAAGATAGACATCACCAGACGTTGAAAAGTAGCAAGGGCGTTACATAATCCAAATGGCATTACATGCCACACAAACGTCCCCCGAGGTGTTGTAATGCAGTCTTGTGTCGATCTTCAGGTGCAATAGACACTTGGTTGTATCCAAAATATCCATCCATAAATGTGTATAAATCGTGACCTGCCACTTCTTCCAAGATGCTAGTGATAAATGGCAAGGAAAAGTGGTCTTTTTGGGTGCAAAAATTCAACTTCCTATAATCCACACACACCCTAAGTTTACCATTCTTCTTCTTTACAAGCACCATGGGAGAGACCCAATCTGTGATCTCAACAGGTTTAATAAAACGTGCTTAGAGTAATTTCTCCAGTTCCTCTTTCACAATCAATTGAAGCTGAGGATTCATTCTCCTCTCCTTTTGCCTGATCGGTACTGCACCGGTCATCAAGGGAATTCGATGTTCTACAATATCAGGAGGAATCCCCTTTAACTCCTTGTAAGACCATGCAAAGACCTCCCGATACTCTCTTACCAACTCACAGTAGGCCTTGATCTCTTCATCCTCTAGTTGGCTTCCCATCTTCATTTGTCTTGGTTCTTCTCCTTCAAACTCCACTGTCACAAACTTCCAGTCTTCCTTAGCAATGTGAGATTGCTCATTGTTATCTCGATACCAATCCAAAGGCACATTGGAATAACTGAAAACGTCTTCTCCAACCGTAATTCCCGAAGAACCAGTCTTAAATTTCAATGATCCTCCCAAATGCTCACTTTCTTCTAAAACCTCTACTCCTTCAACATCCTCTATTCCAATCAAATGGACATCTACTTCAATTAAAGGTGTCAAACCATCGTCCAACTCCATTCCAATGAGATTCAATCCTGCCGTCAATTCTGATGAAGAATCAGGGTTGTCTTAGAGCCACTTGGCATACTCTCCATTGTCTGACCAATGGTAGAGATTTAGACCAAGACACTTCAAGGTTTGAACCTCAGCTTCAAACGTCATCCCATCCACGGATTTTAATGATGTGCCTTCTCCAATAGATATGATGTCAACCACCTCGAGTCCTATCAAAGGCTTGATTCTAACTTTAGTGGAGTTTTCATATGGACCGTAAACTATGGAGGGCTTATCACTACCCCACATGATGGTGGCATTGGCCATCCTCAACCACGGACGACCTAAGAGAAGTCGAAAAGATTCTTTGGAAGTATGCATCCTGATAACATGGAAGGTTACTAAGTAATCCTCCCCTCCTGTAGAGATTTTACAGTTCGTGATCTGGCCTAAAGGCCTAGCAGGACTCTGATCTGCCATGTTTAATACAAATGGTGAAGGTCCGATTAAATTCAACCCCAACTTCTCCATGGTATGAAGTGGCATGATGTTAAGCCCACTACATCCATCAATGAGCACATTCGGAACTATCTTGTCCACGATAGTGACCTCGATCTCCACTGCCTTCACATCCACTGGCCTAATAGATGCTTGTACCCTAGCCACTGTCCTCTTCTGAGTCTTCTTCTTCCTCTTTGCCCTAGGCAATCCTTTTTTGAAACTCTTCCTCATCAAAGGAGATATCTCCAATAGTTGAGCAATTGAGATGTCAGCCTTTATCTTCCGCAAGTCCCTCCAGAGATCATACTTCTGGTAAGAGGTTGGCGTCATACGACCCAACCCTCCAAACTCCTCCTCTCGAATATCTGGACCCTCCCATTCACCCGGTTCTAACCCTTTACCTGGATCAGAGCCTTCAGATGACCTTTCATCACCTACCGCGGCGCCTACCTCCCTTGTAATTCTTGTCGCCTCCTTTGCAGCCGCCTCAAGAGCTACTAAATCCAACAACTCTTCAGACTCACTACTATCTGAGTCTTCTTCATCGATTGGTGATTGCCTATGAGCTTGCCCTCGGGTAATCACAGCCAAAGTAGCATTCTCATGGCCACCGCCTCCGTCTTTCTTCAATTCGTGGGTCACTAAATTAGAAGATGCTTCATGTTCTTCAATCACCACTTTGGTCTTTGCTAGAGATGGTGCAGGACCCTTCAATAAGACCTCTTCTGCTACTCTAACATCTTGGTTAGAAGATGGACCTTGTTTTTGGTTTGCATAGTTTCGATAGCCGCCTTGTTGATTTTGGGCAACTGGGATATAACCTTGGCGGGTTTGTAACCCTTCCGGAGGTTGATGGTTTTGTCTGAAATCTTCATAGTTGTAGTAGAGATTAGGAGGTTTTAGGCCCCTCTGATCATCACCATGAGGTCGTCTCTGATCTCTCATGTTATTCCGCACGTTCTCATAAGGATTTGTTATTGGTGGTGGTAGTTGAGTTACCTTATCAGGTTGTCTATATTCATGGGTAGGGTGATTGCCACCACAATTGCCACACGGCCATGGTTGGCCATCATCCTAGCACTGACCCGGCTCATGCCATCTCCTGCAAAGCTCATGGTACTCCTTCCGAGGCTTGCCACTTCTACCATATCCTTAAGGACCACCTTGATAACCTCCTTGCCGCTGCTGAGGTCCTCTATCTCTTCCATAGCCCTGTGTTGGCTGGTATGGTTGAGGATTTGGATTACCTTGAGGCCTTACTCGGCACTGAAGAGATGAATGCCCATTTTGGCCACAAGTAGTGCACCAAATCCTTGAGTTATGGTTACCAGACTCTATCCGAGGAGGTGGGGTGTTTGAATTTTGATTCTTTACCATGAATGCCATCTGCTCAGTTAAGGCTTGGATCTACTTCATCATGGAGTCTTAAAAACCTTCTTGTCTGGCCTCTATTTTCTTCTCCAAGTCCTCCACTCTCCTCTCCAATTGTGGCTCTGGTAACGCCAATAAGAGTATCGGAACTCTGGTGGCCGTGGGCATGACATTGTAATATTGGGCACCATTGTCGACTATCGGAGGTGTACTGGACGTGCTTGGTCCTACCGCTTGGCTTACGGGATTAATTGGAATAAACCCCGGGATAGACTCATCTTCCTTCCTCCAATGCCTTTTATAACTTCTCTCGATTAAATCTACAACGCATGCTGTTGTTTTGGCTTCCTCCAAAGTGGTTGGGTTTCTCTCTAATACTCCCTTGATTGTAGATCGATTAGCAAATCCTTCAATGAAGAATTGCTTTAACGTATCGCCATTCAACAATCCTCCTACATAACGCATGCAGACCAAGTCAAACCTCCTGATGAAATTAGCCATTTCCTTGTCTCTTTGCTGTTGTACCGCTCCCAGTGCTCTCAAGACTGTACTTTATCCAACCTCCGGCCTAAAGTGGTTTAAGAAGGCTACTTGCAACTGGGACCACGTGGTAAAATGTCCCTCATCATGGTCCCGGTACCAATTGTAAGCCTCACCGTGTAAGGTTCCGGAGAACCAAACCAGGTAATATCCCTCGTTTCCAATGAGGGATGTTGTCAAAATCTCTATGTACCTCTCCATATGTAGGGTTGGATCCTCGTCCTTGGTGCCATAGAACTTGGAGAGATTCCCTGGAACTGTGGCCGCTAATAGCCCTGCTGGCATAGCCACGAGCAAACCTCGTGGCCTAACTAAGGGATCCAAAGCTGGAAGCCGCTCCGTCGCCATCTCGTGAACAAATCCTTCGACCGCAGGCACAAAGTCCAAGGTCCTATCCTGTTCTCATATTTCCCTAAGGTTCACATGTCTAAACACTCCGTCTTCAGGGTCTACGTGTTCTATCTCTAACTCCTCCACTTCCAACTCCTCCAATAGCTCGCTGCCCCCGACGTCTCCTAAAGCCTTTTCTAAATTCCTTCTAATGTCTCCTCCAAGAAATTCTTCATTGCTTCTACTATTAATGAGTGTATTCCGAGAAGGGGCTGCTTCCTTGTTATCCACGACCTTACCCCCACGTCTTCCAATATGTTTAAGTCCTTGGTTCAAAGTAGGTTTTTGAGATCTAGTTTTCGGGAACATCTAAACGTCCTCACTGACCTTCTCTCATTACCTACCAACCCATTTTTTTTTTTTTTTTTTTTTTTTGAAATTTTTAAATTGATAATTAATAATTTAGCCTACCCTCAGGTGGGTAGGGAACGTAAACCACCAAGATAGTATTTACGGGCGATGATATGGAATTCACCAAGGCAAATCAGCCCGCTAGTCCAATCTTGGCATACGGTACAACCTATGTTGTGGGGCTTACCCGGTCAATAAACAAGATATTGTAATTCTGCCTTCATGGCCAAAACCTCCTTCGTTCTCAATTCAACTCACTGCCGAGGCATTACCCATTAACAAGGCAACGACAATGACGAATTACAATCCTAAGTTAACATAGATCATTCAATGTATGATGGCTTACCTCATGCAATTCCAGCTTCCTGCACAATTAGTATACCACCGGCCTCTCGATCACATGCTAAGGTTTCTAACACAAACTACCATAGATATCCCCAGGACCCACATACCTTCTGCTGTGCTCCTTCCAATCACGACCCCATCATCTTGCTCCTATTATCTCCTTCCTTCATGTAATCAATCATCTCAATTCAAAAAAAAAAAAAAAAAAAAAAAAAAAAAAAAATTGTTAGACAACGTCTCTAAGATCGGCTCCCGGCAAACGCACCATTTATATAAGCTAAATTCCTCCACCCTTAATTGCGTTTATTAGTCAAGTGGATTAACTTCACTCTACAAAGAATTGTAGAGATTGAAAGAATCATTGCAAGACTTCATAATGATGGAACATTAGAGATGGCACAATTGAGGATTCACCAGCCTCAAGCTACAACACTAAGAGAAGCAGCTTTGCCTCTAGTTCAATAAGGACTGTTAATCTTATTATAA